AGCAAAGGGTTTTTCAACATTAAAACTACCTTTTTCGATGGATATTTGAGGTGCATCCGTAGTTCTACGTTATAGGGTTGCAACCTTATAAAAACTTTTTCCTATAGACAATCCCAAAAAAAAAATTTCTTCCCCCAAGGCTCTAAACAAATGCGGAGTAGAGTGGTGTGTGTGTGAGAGAGAAAAGACTGTTTTGCCAAAGGAATAAAAATTAGGGAAAATGACCTCTACCCCGTCCCCGAAATTTCCATCCCTATTAGCTTCTTGGGATTGCCAAAATCCCTTTAAAACTTTGGGACTATTAGCCTCTTAATTATACTTTTCTTGGTTCTTTTAAAAATTTGATCACAAAAAAAAACCAAACCCATACATTAGTCATTCGTTTTTCTTTTTTTGTGACTTGATATACAACTTTTATTGATCATGATGATGATGATAATAATAATAACAACTATAATTAATAATAATAACAAAAAAAACAATATATTAATTATTAAATAATTCATCTCTTATAGATATTTTGAGAATTTTTTTTAATTAAATGAATAAATAAATATTAATAATCCATTAACAATACTAATAAAGATATTAATTAATTATTTTCAAGTTCAAAAGATATTGATGCAATTGTAAAATAGGCCATAATATTTATAAAAAAATCATTTTTTTTTCATGTCTAAATTTATAGAGTGGGTTTTACGGAAGTAAGATTGGTTTTGGGCAATGGAAGATAAAGGAAATGAAGTTGACTAATAGAAGTGTTTAGCATTTTATAAAATAAAAATATCAAATTTGTAAAAAGTACAAAAAAAACATAATTAACGTGCTAATTGTCTCAAAATTTTAAACTTGAAAGGATACAAAAGATTTGGTGAACCTAAAAGAAGGGATGGAAATATTGGGGAGGAGGTAGAGTTTATTTTCCCTAAAAAAAAATTATTGTGTGTATGTTCATAAATTATAAGCAAGAAAGAATACTCATGGGCTCAAATTCTCACTTTGTTAATAAATGAATAAATTCCAATGGAAGAATAAAATTAACGAAAATATAAATAGAAAATACAAATGTCCATGAAATAATAATAACGATTGAAATCTGGACAGCAATACATGGGTCCATGTACAGTGAAAGCTCTCTCAAAGCCCTCCAAAAAGATAAGCATGAAAGTAACCCCATTTACCAAAAATAAACACCGAAAAAAAGGAAAATTTTGAAACAAGTTGGCTCTTAAATCTTCCTCATATATCTACAGCCCCATCCCCCTCTCTACCCACCACGTGTATAACACAGACAAAAAATATACTCTTCTTTTCCCAACACGGTTTATATGAAACTATTTTATGATTTGTCTTTTTTAGTTTTTATTTTATTATCCATTTGTGTGCATGCACTTCCAAACAGCTATCCTCTGTGTTTTAACCCTTCTGTGTTAAAGTGATTGGATTTTATGGTTTTAACTTTCCTCTCTCTAAGGAATCAACCGCTCTTGAACCAGTTACTTTCATTCTCTCACCAGTGAACCTGAGCTGCCTATGCCTTCTCTTTGCTGGGACCCAATGGTCTGAATTTCCTCTCTCTCTCTCTCTCTCTCTCTCTCTCCTGATCAGAGATTCTGTACTTTGAAAGGCTTCTTCTGATCAGAGATTCTGTACTTTGAAGTTGGAGGCTTGGAGCTATGGCTGGTGAGACTGTAACACCAGAACCAGTTGCAGTGGCAGTAAGTGTTTTCTCTCCCTCTGTTGTAATTAATGGCTCTCTTTTAAATGCTTTTTTTGCATATGCAAGTGTTGGTCCAGTTTGAGGATTGTTTACAGTGTGTATTCTGATTTTGTTGAGTATTGTTGTAGGTAGAGAAACTGGTCTTAGCATTTACCATATGACTATATGTTTCATTCTCTGTACCCATTAGAGGCATGCTTTGTTACAAGGTATAAATTGAGAAAGTTGTTGATAGTTTTACTTGATTTATTAATTAATATTCTGTTGCCTCAGAATTCATGAAAGGTGTTTTTTTGCTATTATTTAAAAAAAAAAAAATTTATTACAATCCCACTCATTGAATTTCGGTTTAGAAATTGGTAAAGTAGCTAAAGATTTCTCTGTTCTGCTTTATTTAATTTTCGATCTTTATGGTTAGTATGTTTTATTAATGTTGGTTTCTAATAATGGTTCTGTTGCTCTAAATTTCATAATGTTCATAATACTTTTTCTTTGAAAGCCGCAACTTAAATTTGCTGTAATGGTTCTAAGTTCTAACTCTGAGATCCATTGTGTTTTTAAATTGAAATATGGGAATTCATTCAATAGTTTCGAGCAAAACTTCTCTTGTCTCTAGCAAATATTTTAGGAGATACTTCTGATTAGGAGACTAGTATAGATTCCCTTTAATCTATTAATCCAGAAACAGTTTCTCCTTGGATATTACAAGCCTAATTCGGTGAGATAATTTTCTTAAGTTTATCCAAGAATTACTTCATCTTAAGTAGTTGTTCTGATTCCTTAATATTT